TTATATTTATATTATATTATATTTATTATATTATTATTATATTTATAATAAAATGTAGTATTATTATTTATAATATAATATATTATATTATTTTATATATTATACATTACATTTCATTATTTTATGTATTACATTATATTATGATATATATTTTATTACTTTATATATATTATTTTATATATTATATTACTTTATAAATATTGTTTTATGTATGACATCGTATTATTATTATATTATAACACTTTTTATATTATACTACTTTTTTTATATGGTATAATATAATATACCATACCATATAATATATATTATTTTATATTATATTATAAGATTATATTATATAATAATTATATTATATATTATATTATATTATGTAAAAATTATATTATTATCATATTCAGTGTATACTGTTTTTATTAAATAATTATTGGTTTACTATGTTTGTATATTATATATTGTTCTTCGTTTGATATAACATTGGATAAACGATTGCAATTTCTTTGCTGCTGCATGTACAGTGCAGTAAGGTTTTATATGTCAGTTTGTATTAAGTAACAAAATATGCGACATTGTTGTCAGCATTCAGCTAACAGTTATAATGTAGTAAAAAGGGAGGTATAATTAAAAAACGGTATTAGCTCAATTCGATCATATTAGCACAGAAAAGTCAGATTTTAATATAAAGTTAATTTTTTTTTAATTTTGACTATCCAGTTTAAAATTTTATTTTGAGTATTATAAAATTATTTAATTTCTATAACTGTTCTTTGTCATTCTAAATTATCTTTTGTTGGAGCAAAATTATTTTAAATTTTTGACTTTTGATTTGTAACGTCAGGTTATATTGAGGTTAGTTTCTTTTTTTTAACATTATTGCAAAGTGTTCTTTAGTATATTCAATAATTGCTTTAATTTAGCCATTCAAAGTTCGGTTTTAAAGATTTGACAATCGAAAGCGAAGGAAGTTTGGTTTTAAATATATTTGCAGACATTTGAATAGTATTAGAAATGGATAAGTCAATTCAAGAAAATGGCGCTGCACTTAATGGCGGCAATAGCATTGCGGTTAATAATGTCGTGCTTTCCACGGAGAAGGCTGATGGAGATCATAATGTCAGCGCCTCCGAAGCGCTAATGACTGAAGAAAACTTGTCATTATTGCATATTTCATTAGATGAGCAATTTTCTTTGAATTCAAGCAAAAACACAGAAGATCAAGTTGAACAAAAATCTGGTGAAAAATCAAATGAATGCCACAATGACGAGGAGTTACAGGGAATGGATCGGATTTTTTTCACACCACCACCGCCACCTCCACTACCAAAATGCCTTTTAAATTGTCGTGTTGTAATTCAAAAGTTAAATTTTGGTGATGCACTTCGACATGCTAAACAAAAAATTTCTGATAAAAAAAACGAAGAAAAGTTGATAATAGAAGAGGTACGTATTACAATAATTTAGTAATAAATTTATTTTTATATTCTGATTTAATAATATTGCTTTTAATGTGTAAGCGTTATCCTATTTACTGAAAATTTGTGTTTCCATTTGAATAACACTATTTGAAACTTGTTTTTTATTATTGCATGTTATTTATCTTATTTCCATTCATGAAACAACAATTTCATCAAATTTTGCTTTCGCTGTAATGCTAAAACAGTTGTTAATGCATAAGCTTTATGTTTGTAAGCTTTGCTTTCAAAATCGCTATATTCTTGCTTCGCCTTATTAGTTCTCAAGAACGATTATTTCCAAGATAGCAACTTTACTTTCGTTTGTTGGTTACTAGCCCTCAAACTATTTATACAACATTTTTATGACTAAACTTATATTATATATTTTGTATTACACATATTCCCTTCTGCGAAATGTTGGACGAAAAGCTCAAGGCTCAGTGAACTTAAAATTAATAATATAGCCAAATAAGTTGAAATAAAGGGTAAATTTCGGAATGAAAGATAATAGAACTACAAATTTGTATAATTTGCAAAAAAATTCGTATAAGTGGTTCATTACATTTAAAATCAGATGCCATGATCATTTCCCTTACTTAATGTGCATATCTGGTATTCGTAACTTGGTGTCTACTCTGTCAAGACTACGGCAAGTTTTTATGTTTAAATGAGAGAGTATAAAATAATTTTAAATTAATAAATTGTGTAATTAATGTGTGTTTTGATATAATATAAAATTAAAGTATAATATAGTGATGACATAAGTAGATATTATTATTATTTGGCTATCTTCTCAAAGTTCAGCCAGTGTAGACACCAAGTAACATAGAGGCTTTACGAGAAGGCAGTTTGAAAAAATTTATAAATCATGTGAATAAAATCATGAACTTTTACGTTTTACTGATATACGTAAAAGTCGTATTTTTTATTTTAATATTTCAGGATAAATCTTATAGACGTAGACTATTTTCTGAAGATGATCGTTTGCTTGAAGTAATCAGTAAGATTGTATGAAAATTGTTAAAGGGTGTTAAATAGTCGTGTATGGGAATAAACTTCCAATCCGAAAGTTTATCTACCATAAAAAAAAGTAACAAAAACTTTAAGACAAATGAAAAAGAATTTAAACATATCAATTAGCAGCTTTTGAGATATCCAGACATATTTCGACTTCAGATAAGAAAAGTTTCTTTGTGGTTCGATTGGTTCGCCGACTCCCAAATAAAAACACATTTACATTTGATACAATGCATTTCATGGTCCTTGCCTTATTCTTTACATTTTGACAAAGCCAATACAATCTTACTATTATATTAATCAAAGGAGTAGACCAGAAACTTTTTAAGATCGTCATTGTTGTTACTGTAGTTCATGCAGATGACATAAAAAGCAAAAAGGCGAAAGAATCCCAAACAGTAGACGGTGTTGGATGGAAAGGATTGATTTAATTATGTAGAAGAAAAGCAATACCCGTGAAACAAGATATATTTGGAAGACGTGATGTGAATTGACCCAGTTTTGTATTGTTAAAAATTCTAGAGGACGATATTCGACCTTTGTGTTTTGTATATGATTTTTGATATCAACGTATTCATAATGCACTGAAGAAGGAAAATTCTACTTGTTGTGGAACCGTTTGTATTTGTTTATTTCTATTGGAACATTAAAATAGGTGTTCTGCGTTTATTAATTAAAATCAATGGAGCCATTAATAAAAATAAGATGTTGGCTGTTTTTTGGTGGTTTTTGGTGATTGTGAATGTTTCTATTACCCTAGAAAGTGGCCATTGTGGGGTAATTAGTATCGATTATTTTGCACAATATTGTTAAGTCTTAGTCAATGGCAAAACTGTGCTATCGTTTCCAGAGTAAAGAGAATTAGTAGAAAAATACTATCTTGAGAAATAAATCGTTTCCAATTTCTACCTTCCGACATCTAATATTTAAAGTTTAAAAAAGAAACTTTACTTTCGATTAAGGCCTTAACTGATTTGGAATGAGGTTTCTTAGATGCATGTGGTGTTATGATGGTTTTTAACCCTATTGATAGGGATCGAGGCATATGATTGGCGATACCCATTTTAAATGCAGGTACTAAGAGATTGGCTGTTAAAGAGAGCGGCAAAGTTGAAGGATATGAGCCTTTTCTTTTGTTTGATTTTGTGTAAAAATTCTTAAGTGTTCTCAAAAGAGTTTCATTTGTATTGTACCGTCCTGTAATTTCTACCTTATTTTGTCCAAATTAATATTTTAAAAATATCATGAAGATTAAAATTTCCATTGACATGTTTCTGATTTTAAATAATTTTATAACTTAGACAAAATTCAAAGAAAATAACGGAGCTATCCTAAGAATATATAATATAAAGTACAGACCTTTTATATTATCTCAATTTAAATAAAACTAAACAGTTATAATAGTTTCAATATTAAAAAATAAAAAAAATTTTAGGTTAAGAAAAAAGAAACTTCATTGAGCTTGGTTCGTGTGCAATCTAAAGATTCCTTAAACATGCCGCCACCTCTGTTACCACCGAAAGTGTCTAAAGTAAAACATTCATTGATGTCAACATCCCATTTGGAAGACAAATTGAAAGCAGAGAAACGAGCTATTAAAGTTAAAAAACTAATTGAAAATCGATCAAAAACTAAACCTGCTATATCTGCGGCAGCAATACCTTTACCATCTCCACAGAATGTAAAATCTATTCCTTCAAGTAATGAGAAACTTAAAATCAAGAACTCTATGGAAAGTGATTTATCCAAAACATCTGTCTTAAAAAATATTGCTAAAAATGAGCAGTCACTCTCAGTAATCACCGATTACTGCACGAATGGGAATATTCGGTATACTAGCAATGTTAATCACTCCGAGGAGGAGGCTTTATCGCTACAAATGTCACCGTCTCGTTCATCTACGCCATACACAGTGCCAATGTCTTGCACAAGCTCCAATAGTGATCTGGAGCATGCTACAGACCATGTTAGCCCTGTTAAAAATGATGATAACATTGCAAATAATATTCCAAAGACAGTTGAATTAAGTTCTCTTGAAGATGACGGTTGTGTGCACTATTCGCGTTCTTTTATGCTTCAAATTCGTCACAATATGGCAATAAAGAATAATCAAAAAGCGCATCAATCCTTATCAGGAGTGAATGTTATTCCATGTGACGTTGTGGAATTGGAATTACGTTTGCGTCGTTTTAACATATGGAAAAATTCTGAAACCTACAAAAATGACCAATCTTCAACTTCTCGCACTCAATTTGTTCAAAAGTATTACAATGGTTTAAAACGAAGCCAAGTACCAATAGACGAGTCTATTATTAAAAGTCAACCTCCTCAAAGAGATTATAAGGTATATATCTGTATATATATAAAGCTTTTTGTAATAAATAATATTAATAATTAATTCGTTTAACTTAAGGATTCGATGATAATGCCCAACAGAAGACGTATAGGTAGTGGCCGGTTAAATCAAAGTACATATGCAAACACCAATCAATATGGTAATTATAAGGAGAGGCCTATGTACAAAAATGAAGTCTTGAAAAATGGAAAAATAAGCCAGCTTAATAGCCGGAATATTAGCAAGTATTCACCACCCAATAAAAAACCACAATTGTTAAATGAAAAACCAAAGAAAAACGATCTAACTAATGCAAATTATGTTAAGCGCGTTATGTCAGGTTTTCTTGTAGTTTCAAATGCCAAAGATCGCGATATTGAAGAAAAATATCAACAACGTGGCAACAATAATGTAGGTGAGGAGCCAGAATGGTTTAGTTGCGGTCCAACATCACGTTTAGATACAATTGAACTTCATGGTTTTGCCGATGATGAAGACCCGACAAAATCGCAAAATAAATCCGCAGATGATCCAATGTTTTGGGGCGGCACTGGAAAGCAAAATGATCTAAACTTAGCAAGTGCGAGAGTAAGTATTAAATTATGTATATTTAATGATTAAAAATAAATAAATAAAACAATTTGACTGGATTCTGATTTCCCGGGTACGTCCAAATACGAGTTTTTTTAAATATAGCTATTTTAAGCCATTTTTCTACCACATTATATGTTAAAACAGCTTAGTTTTGAGAAATCGTGGTTTGAAGTCGGAAATTTTTACATGAAAACCACTAACAGTAAGAGAATAGCCATATAGCGAGTCTGTTTATTATTACCCCTTGTTTGTGTATTAGTATTATAAATAAAAGGTGTGTAACTTCAGACCCCGAAATCTTGACACGCGATTTATATTCAAATATAGAATAGAAAAAAATGTACTCAAACATCTGATTCTACTATAATCAGCTGTCAAATCGGCGTGCCCAGGAAATCGAAATCATGACAAAATTTCGAATGCAGCACAAACATATAAATATACATACATACAATGTATATGAATGCATAAATAGTATTAATTGTTGTTAAAAATGTAGTTTTTAATCAAATATTTAAAAAACAAAACGAGATATATCATGTTTTATTTATTTCCAGTGGCGACAACAGCATAATGATCAATATAAATGGCATGCAGAGAGTAATGATTCCAGCAACAATTTCAACCAACATCAGAACTTGAACCAAAGTCGTGATGTAGCCCATTTCTATGAAAACGATAAATTCGTTAAATTTGAAAAGAAAAAACAACCGCCGTTTCATTTTGATCGCTTTTCAAATGAAAATAAGTTCATACCGTCCAATCAACGGCACTATGAAAATAAGAACAATAGACAAAAATATCAGAGTGAGAATATTCAAAAGAACAATTTTACCAATGACAATTCAAGATTTTTGTCATTTTTTAATGGAAATTCTGCTAATGTTGGTGTTAATTTGGCTAAGACTAAATTTGAGCCGCATAACATTAACAATGGCACACCATTAAACGACTTTATTAACCAATCTCAACAATTGTCATCACAGAAAGTAACTGCTTCCAAAAGAGATTGTATGAATATGCCTTTAGTTGATCAGTTGGAAGCAACATGGAAACGAAATTCGTTAAACAGCAGTAGCACAAGTCAAGAAAGTTCTAATGATACAAACAATAACAACTTGAACAAAACTACAGAGGATTTCCAAAAGCTTATGGCACGAATGAACGCCCAGAATGTCAGCTCCAACTCATCTCATGTACATACAATTGAGGATAAGTCAAATGTACAAATGCTATTTAAAAATGATCACTTGTCTGCATTACTCTTGAAACAGAAACATCAATATAATCAACAGCAGCAACTTTTGAAACAACAACAGCAACAGGCAGCTTTAGTTGCGAGCCTCCAGATGAAGATTATATTGGCTCGTCCTGAGGCACAAATGCTATTGATTGGTTTGGCTAAAGGTATTACTAATCAAAATTTACTTTATTCAAATAAGTACTAATAGTGTAGAGAAACATCGAGGTCAGGTGGATTCATAAAGACGCAAAGATATTAATCCTATTCGTTATGTAATCGGAATTTATGAAATGTATCTGTAGAAGTCAAAATAGTAATATTTAAGTAAATTGAATACTTAATAATTGTTATTAACTTGCATGATAAGCTCAGTATAGGAATGTAAAAACAATCTAATTTTTATAATCTATGCTTATGATCTTTATAACTTTTATTAAAGCTGCAATTTCCTATTACAGGTGAAATTTCAAAGCACGGCTTAGTTATCCAGTTGGCTAATCCCCGTCTTCCAATGCGTGATCGAGAAGCTATAACAGCTGTACTTTCATTTACTTCTATACAACAACAACAGCAACAGATAGATCTATTATCAAATAACCTTCTTTTAAATCAGTATCAAACACTTAATCAGATATCAGTCCCACAACCGTTAGTATCTCAGCAGAAGCAGCAGCCACAGCAAAAACAACAGCAATCACAGCAAACAGTACACAATGCACAACAAAAGATGCATAGTGAGAAACACGCACAATCAACAGCTGCACCAAATGCAGTTTCAAATGTCCTGCCAAATATTGTTCCATCCATTTCTCAGGATGAGTTGCAAGCTCATGCTAATCTTGTAATGCAAAATGCCTTGTTAAAACGCCGAATTGAAGAGCAAAACAAAAGCATTGGTATTCAAAATTTTTTACAAATGAGCGCTGCTGCTGCTTTGGCTGCAAAAATACAACAACAATCACATCAAGTGCAACAAATCCAACCAATTAAACCTCAGCAATTTCAACAAAATATTATTCGAGGTTCACCAGTTAATTACTCAGTAACTAGCTCTCTCAATGAGTCTTCTGAATCAAATAACACTATTGAAGACAATAATCAATCTCTTCATCAAATTTACCGTAAAAACTGTAATGCTGGCGTTTATGGTTCTTGTCGTTGTTCTTTATCCGGTTTACCAGATAAACAGGATATGCATATTGTTGGTGATCATCAAAATCAGCCCCAACAGCAAACTTGCTCCAGGCAACTTAATTCATCAGAACATAGTTACCAAACCTGCAGCAAACTACACTCACCATTACCAAAAATTGGGCCTCCAGCAACTGTCGGTAAGTCTATATATAAAAAAGAAGTAATAATGTATGTGGAACTGCAAAGATCTTTTCAAAGTCTTTATTTCAAACCTTTTAATTCCAGTATAGCCCATTTTATTATGACAGAACATTAAAGAACTAAAAATCTCGTTGAAACTAGTTGTATTTAGTAATATATTTAGTCAATATTTTTCAAACATTCACTTCGTGGTTACATTTGTAGTTATCTATAAATGTCCTCTTTCGCTTCATCCTCTGAACACAGGTCTTCGCAGGAATTTGATTACATATGTACATATATATTTCGCAGTTGCTATTTAACTCCGAACTCCTTAATTCTCCTCCAGTGTAGAGCTTATCTCGCCATATTACTATTTCAGTTCTAAAATAATTTTATTTTTCAGAACACAATTGTCCTTTAACTTCAATTCTCATATTTCAACCACCTTCCCATTTATGGATCCCATCTCTGTTGTAATTTTCCACAAAGTTACTACTCTATGGCAGCTATGACCTCTTCTTTTGGTAAAAATTGTTCTCCACGAAATAATTTTTTGAGGTTGTGAGAAGGGCTAGTAATTAGAGAAAGCTGATTTGATTGGTTCTTACAAAAATTTGAATTTTTTTAATTGATTTGAGCTGTGACAGCAGGTCACCATATTCTCATCAAACAACGAATATGTAGGGCATAGGGCAAAACCTAAAACCTAGTTATTTATCTGCCACCCAAATCTAGTAGTCTACCATAATAGACACCAGATATATTTTACTGCGCAAACTGGTTTTATGAGTTATGATCTGCACTGTAATTTTTGACCTACCGACTATTAAAAAAATATAACGTAATGCCAGCTGAAATTAACGCTTCCTTATGATGTCTAATTAATGGTATGACATCAACCTCCCCGTTGTTTGGTCTTACGCCATTTTGAATTGGAGTTCTAAAGTGTTGTTATGCATACCACTTCATTATTCTTCCGTTATATTTTGATGACCGCTTCTAAGATACAAATTAAAACTAAAAATAAAACTTACAGTAAAAAAGGCGAACTAGAATTTATTTCACGATATTCTTGAACGATTCTTTACCAACTTAATTCTGGCCCCTGCTCCAAAAGTATACAGGTGGACTTTCTTTAGTGATGTTGCTCCTTGCAGATAACGTGATGAATTTCTCATCCAAACGGCATACATATAACGACACTAAACAGCTATCCTTATTGATGATATAAAACACTAACGAGGACTATCAGCATTACTAATCTTGCATTTGCCAGTTTCTTGCTCATAAAGCAAGACATCGTCTAAGAATTTTAACATAGATCTGTAGTTCATGTTCAGTTTTAATATTTTATATTTCATATTTTATTTGCATTTGCCAGGTTATTGCTTATAAAGTCAATGCTATTATAATTTCGTGCACTGAACTAAAGAATTTCCTGAGACTTCTTTCTAAGACTTTTAATACAGATCTGTAATTCATGCACAGCTTTCATATTTTATCTGTTTAGGAAAGTTGCGTTTTACAAGGTTATTGTGTTGCAAAATCTTTCATTCTCTGAATGAAATACCTTGTATTGAATTGAGCAATTGGAATACTCTTACTAATAACTAATTAATATGGGTTCCAAGAACGGCCGCGTCTACGTCCCAGAGCCACTCATCGTTATTGACGACCAAGTGCCGTTCGACAACTCCCAAAGGGACTACATCAGCAGGTCCTATTGGGCTATACAACAATAACATGTTAAAGGCCATTGTTTTGCTTGACAATTTACAATTCTTTACTGTTCTGTAACTTATGGTGACTTGAGTCTGTCAACCTTTTCATCAAGTCTCACATGTGCTGTTGCGTTTTTTAGTTCCGCAGTTTTCTCGTGAATTATAATAACAATATCATCAGTATGTGTTAGTATATATACTGACTTTGTGAATATACTTTCTCTTACTTATAATCGAGAGTCTAGTATCGACTTTTAAAGTGCGATGTTGAAGATTACAAATTACAACATAACGCATTGTCTGATCCCTCTTTAAATATTATATCTGAATACATTCATTGTAGTTTTTGTAACTATCGCTTTATATGTTATCTAAGGCTTTTTCAGGCTTTAAATAAAAAATTTTATCTTTATAGAATCATAGATAGATATTATATGCTATACTCACTGAACCACTCCATCAAGGTGCCGGGCTAATTTCACTGATACGTATTCACTATTCACTACTTATCATATTATTATTATTATCGCATGTTTTGTACAATATTTGATTGTATAAACTTTGCCTATTCACAAAGAGTTCGTACAGAAGTTTTTTAATTTTGCCTAATTCGAGCAATATATCCCATACCTCAGCTATCGATTTATTCGTCTCATTGTTAATTGTTCTACGCCAAGTTCTACGTGGTCGTTCACGGATTCTTCTTCTCATATATTTTCCTTATTAACTATCATTATGGCGTTAATAATTGATTAATTTATGTGATAATCACTTTGTGATAATCACTTTCTTTGCTTGAAAGCTAACTGTTCAGTAAGAGTAACATTAATTATATATTATGGTTAAGGTATTATTTTTCTTAAAGCGCTTATTTGATCAACCATGTTGTTGTTGTTGTAATACTTGGTCATCAAAATTGACAAGTGACACCGGGACGTAGATCCGGCCGATTTTAGTGCATGATAATAAGACACTGCTGTACTGTAGTTAAGGAACTCAAGAGACTTTCACTTTTTAAAATAAGTATAAAAGCTCGAGAGGTAATATAACGATAAACTAACATATCTAGGGTGAATATTTTCTTTATAAACCGAAATCAAGTCAAAAGATAAAGCTAATAACTCGGTGCAGTCTTTAAAATAAATTTAAAAAATAAAAAATATAATGTATTTAATGTAATAAATAACCATGTACATAACTATTGTAATGTTCAAGTTTTGTTGAAGACTGAAAAGAATCAATTTTTATTACATAGAATTATTGTTAGTATTAAGCCGTTTATCTGTATTGCTTCTTAGGGTATTTTCTATAGTAACCGTATTCCAAGACAGTACATTATAATATTACAAAACACGTTTTTATGACTTACTACACGGAAGTATCTTAAGTTATTCCGAATTTGTTCATAAAATTTCGAACAAACGATCAATATAATTGCATTCATCGAGAAATGGCAATATGCAAACGTTTGTATTTTTGTATGTAGATAGTTTCTGAGTCACAGGAATTTCTCTGCATAAATACATTAAATTATTATAAATGAATTATAACAGGTATTTTGTTTTCATTTATTTTATTTTTGATGATGTATAAAAACTGAATGGCGACAACACATTTACAAATTATTTAATTATTTGATGCCACCATTGTTACATATGTATAGTGTTGATGAATAAAACTCAAGACGCATAAGCTGAAATTGTTCGAAACTCGATTGATATAACTTTCAGTACTTGTTTAGGAACTTTCAAAAGCTGGCTCATTAACTTTGCCTGCAAATAAAATATTCCCTGTGGCTTCTTCCTCAATGAAAAATAAGAATGGACGATTAACATTAAACTCTTCAATTGCACTACTGCCGCCGAATTTGTTATCAATTTCTACAACGGTAGAGGCAAAAGCTTCTGTGCCCTTCTCATTAATATCAATTCCAGCTTTTTGGAATACATTAGAAACTCTTAGTTTACGTGTCACATCGGCACCTCTTGCTAGTCCCGGTAAGGAAGCATTATCAGTGAAAATGTCTTTTACGCCTAAATTTCTCAAGGTTTGTTTCAAGTTTTTATTAAATTCAAATTTGATTTTTGGCAATGTCACTTTAACCTTCGTTTCTTCCATAAGCCATTGCATGCTCTTCACTTGATCATTATATAAATTAAGTATGAGGTCATTTAGTGTACCGTTCGGCAATAAAATGAACATGGAGAATTTCTTTCCTTTATAGGGTAAACGTAAAATTTTTGCTTTCAAATTTTTCGATTCATGAAAATAAAAATATTCTGTCTGTTCCATATATTGCACTCGAAGTTGTTGAGATGGTGTTTTGAAGAAGACACCTTCAAATGTTTCATTGAATTGTCGGCGCCATAAGCCATTAAAGTAAATCACATTCGCCATTAACATCACGTTATTTTCGATATTGTCTTCACTCACCAATTGACGTATTCTACCATGGGTAACATTCTTACACCAAGTGTTTATGGTATCTGCAGAGCCGCTTAAGTCTGAAAACTGCAAATTTTGTATGTCGGTGTCATAAAACGCATGCAACATGCCTGCATATTTCTGCTGGGGCTCAATGAATGCATCAACATAGAGTTTTGTCTCTAAATTTAGTATGTGATAAGGACTTTCTTGTTTTAGTGAAGTAAGCGTCTTCTTATAGAACCCACGCAAATTGTCAGGAGATCTGATGTCTGTCAATGTGTCAATTAGTTCCTTTTGTGTCTGGGTGTTATTTCCAGCTGCTTCTGATAGCAACGCCAGTATCAGTTTAACGGAAAATGGCGATATTATGACGTTGTGCTGTTCTTCTTCTACAACATTCTTAAGCAAATTCCATGAGAAGTAGTCGTGGGCATCACTGCTATGGGGCACGTATACATCAAAATCTTCGTAGGTATTTAAGTCAACATTGTAAATACCTGGATTTGATGTAAAAATTCCTGTTGGCATAATTGATCGCAATTTCGACTTTTGTATTGTTGTGGTCGTTGTTGGTGTCGGTGATGCTGATGCTGACATCTGATGTGATGTTTGCATGGCAATTGCCAAAGTTATTGCAAATAAATATAATTCCATTGCACTGAATTTAAATGTTAAAATTAAATTACATTTGTTTCTTTTTTCTATCAACATATTTACAATTTCTTTTTTGTTATTGTTAATGTAAATAATATTGATTTATATCACTTTGATTAGTTTATTTTTATATATTTCTTATCTCTAAAAACTCTCGAACTAACATAAAATCTTCGACGAACAAACCTCTTCGTTGTTTTGCTTGAAAATAACTCGAAATTTATTGGAGATGAAAGCGTTTTAAATTAAAAACCAGTTTTTTCCAAAGTTCCACTAATTAATTGGAAAAGAGCGGATGAAAGCATCATCAGTATATATAAGGGAGAACCCATGTTATAAAGAGAATATGAATGAAATAATTTATTTATATAGCATATGAACGTTTATAGTACGCTACACCATATACTTCCGTCAGTGCAAAGAGTTAGATAATAAAATTCATATACATATAAATATTTACTATTAGCAAATCATGATGTGATCGTGATCATGATCAAATCAATTTCATTAATTAATCAAAAACATTTAAAATATAATACATTTTAATCTGATTGCAAGCTTTTTTAACAAATTGTACGTTGAGATATAGTGTAGCCTTTATTTCCTTGTTTGAATATATTTTTTATATTTTTTGTTTAGGAATAATTCATCTATTTCATTTGAATTGAGTCAAATTAACGTACAAAATAAACTTCAAATGAAATAGGTTTTATTTTTAAACGAAGTCCATTTTGCTGATATTTCGGGATTTTAATTTCTTTTGCTGTTTACAAAAATCAAAATAAAATAAAATAATTTAGTAGAGAGGTTTTGAAAAATAGTGAACTACAAAAACAATTATTTTTTTATATTATTTTAATTAATTGAATTTTTGGCTGACCATACAGCTGTTTCGAGTATTGCCAAATACCCATCCTCAGTGGTCTTGGAATTATTTCTTATATTTAATTATTCCTGAATTATTTTTTTTTGAGACAACAAGTGCAACAGATTAAACTTGTGCCCTGCTAAATTTGAAGCTCAGAGTCAGCGCTCCTTAACCAACTGACCCATAGCCGTACTTGTCTTTTATGTTCGTATGTTTTTCTGGAGTTTTGTTAATTTGTTGTGAAAGTTTTATTAACAAATTCACTTGCTGTGTTTATATTAGAACGAAATCATAAACCAGCTGTAGCATAATTGAATTAAATAATTATATTTATTTTTAATTGTTGAATTTCAGTAATAAATATTAATTTAATTTGATGATTTATAAATCTAAAAGCTATTTTAATATGAAGATTTTTAATCAAAATTTGAAATTATATGTACAGCGATATATAAAACATAACAATACAATTATTTTCACATCTCAAGTTTAAATATAAATTCTAAACTTGTTAGGTAACTTCTTAAAGATAAAAATGAATACACCAAAAAACCCTAAAATAATAGGTTGGACTAAAAAACAAAAAGAATAATCGATGTACATGATAGTGCACACTTGGTTTTGTTTCATACTAGATTCATATGAGAGTTTTGTTTGTAATTTTAGCTGTCAAAAATTTTCATTTTACATTGTAACCAACAATAATTGACAGCTAAAATTACAAACATGACAGCTAAAATTACAAACAAAACTCTTGTGTGAATTCAGTGCAAATAGAGTCAATTTCAATGTCTAGTCCTAAACACCAGAATATAAAAGATAATCTCGGTGTAGGGTGTGCATTTTAACATGCCGGAGGGTATGTAAGATTAAAGGAAAAGTTTGTTTTTACTGATATCGTTGTAGTCATGTAAAACTTATTATATTTTTACATTTTTAAATTTAAAAATTTGTTTTTTTGAATAACTAAGTAGGTGTAAGTGTGATCACTTCAAGTACTTTTTTTTGCTGTATGAATCAACTTGCTCAATTTCAACTCTTCAGTATGAATTAATCTTAACCAAATCAAGTGGAACTTATGGATATTCCATACAAAGCTGTTTGTCCAACTGAATTCTTACGAAATACTTCTGTCAAAGCAAACAATTGCCTAAGAATATAGTAGCGTTCGCTAAAGAACAATAACTTATTACTTATTTTAATTATTATTCACGCAATTATCAGGTTTCGTCTAATTCAATATTTTTCAATTATTATTTTTCTTATTCTCCCTCAAGACTTATTCAGAAACAAAACATTTTTATCACATTTTGTGTAATCGTCATTTGAAGTGTTTTTTCCACACTTGGTATTCAAAGCTCAAGTTTATAATAAAATAATGTATATATGTAGGTGGGGAATATTTCTGATTTTTATATAATATATAAAAAATTCATACACTATTTAATAATTTAAAAGTTTTTATCGTATTGCAAATACTCTTTAACGTGTTAGCTAATTTCAATAATCGTCAGACGCAATACCCAGCGATGATTTCGCGAGTAAATACACTGCTCGCGGTTTATGGTTTTTCGCGACCTGCAGCTAGGAGGAGAAGTACTTGAATTTTCGAATTTTCGAGATCGTCCGCGATTATTTAAAATAAGAGCAAGATGGTGTTTTGACTATAAAACTTTTTATGATAAAACAAAGAAACTATTTGGTCTGAACAGCACCCAACGTTCAAACGTTTTATTTGATCTGTTAAGTGATTAAGTGCATTATTACATTATAATTTAGAAAAAGAGAGTATGAGAATTCATACTTTTTGTGCTTATAATGTATACATATATAAAAATATATATTACAAAAGGAAGTAGATTAATGCACTTCTCTGATAAAAATATCATAAAGTATTACGTATGTATAAAACCAATGTTTTTTGAGAAATGTATTTTTTATTACATATATTTAAGTAATATTTTAACCTATGTCAAACCTCAATCCGTACTTACTACTTCGTGTATAAATTTTTCATATTATGATATAATTTTGGTTATCCACATAATTTTTTATAAAATATACATATGTATTTAAAAAGTACGATCAATAGACGCTTAACTGAAATCTTAGAACTGATCTATATTTACTTACTTACTTAGTTGGTCATTATAAACCAACTTGCCCGCAGTTAAGTAGGTTCCGCCAGCCAATCCGATCAGTGGCTTGCTGTCACCAGTTATTAGTACCGAATGCCTTCATATCGAAGCAAAATAATAATTTAGTTTCCGCATCAGTACTCAAAATAGCTTTAATTAATAAATTAATATGCGTTCACACTATAATTAAAATAATTTTGTTTACTGTTTGTTTCAAAAATTATTTGAAAATTATACATATGATCGTACACTGCTTTACTCGAATTTGCAATTCAATGTGAATTTCATTGCGCGAACATCACGATATCTGCCAGAGTAGTAGATAGAGGTTGACTTCAGAAAAAAGAATATAGTCCTGGGATAAGAGTCTATGATGAAGAATAGTTCCACTACTTTGTCACATATGTAAATGTATGTAGAATAAAGTACTCAAAATGGAGATCCCTGTGTAAGTCAGTCAACTTACAGTCAGACAAATTGAAACAACAGCGTTTGGCATAATTTTCTGATGCATTGAATTTATTTAAGAAGTTATTAAAATTGAGAATATCCAAAATTTTGAGATATTGAGACATGGCTTTGATTTTTTTATTGTTTCGTCCTTTTTTTCGTTTTAAATGATGAAAATGTTTTTAACGTTTTCAGAATTTGCATCTCTAACATAACTTTGACTTGTTTGTTATTGACTGCTTGTTTAAGTGAAGTGACAGTGTTTACTCCATGCTTGGCATGAACTCTATTCAGTTTGGTAATTTGTGATGTCATTTTTAAAGCATGAGCTTAATAACCTTAATAATGATGTTAAACATTTTTTTTACATGATAACTTCTTAATTACATACATACGTATATTGAAAGGTGATTATGGTTGATTTTATTATTGATGAATTATTATTTATATAATTATAATTTTGTTATATTATCATTTTATAGCGAAAAAATGCACTACCGGGTGTAATTAAAAAAAATTTTAAAAACCCAACTCTTAATGGGCTCATGTACATATGTATTTCTCATAGAGCATATATTTATAACCTAATACTATACATACCACCATACATACCTACAACTTAACTTAGAAATTATTTTTATATTAGTTTGTTGTTAAAAAATTCAATAAATTTATAATTTATTATGTAAACAAACCGCTAAGTCTGTTGAGCTTTGAGTGTGTAGAATATTTCAAGAGACCCACCTTTACATACAAACCTACATAGTGAAATCTCTGCATCCGAAATTACGAGAGTCAATAACATTTTTTACGTCACTCAGAATTATAAAATCTGTTGGTACTGTGATGATGATCATTATTCACATCATAATAATTAATTAATTAATTTTTTTTTAAATTGTTTATATTGCATTTATCCAACTACAGTTTTTTGTGTTATTGCTGGAATGCTGGAATGCTGGAATTACCCGTGCTTATTAAATATCAAAAAAAACCCAAAAATGATTCAAGTACGGAGAGTTCCGAAATTGCAAGAAAAGTTTATTGTATTGTTTTTTTTTGTTTGACTTGCTAAATTTTATCATTTTAAAATGTAATACAAATACTATAGGTGCGTTATATGTAGTTGATTATTGATTTCAAGTGGTTTCTAAATATTTTCAACATCTTAATATATTGCTCCTGAACAATGTAGTATATTTTGAAAAAAAATTTTGACAGAGTTCGATACCTGATACAGTGCAAAAAGTATGTAGGGATAATTAAAGCAACGAATATTTCCAAATAATTTTACTGATGATGGATATTGGATAATATCTGAGTCAGCTGCGACAACAGCTGTTGTCACCAGTTTTTAAATTTGAAATTTTCTCAATATTAAATTAATGTAATAACTACGTTAGTTAGTTTATAGAATAAACCACATTTACTTAAACTTATAATATTGAGTTAAATAAAAACCGTTTTCTTCCCTAATGAAATTGACAACGATCCTTGCAAAAACCAAGCTATGTATAGGGTCTTTAAATAAATCGCGGCTTTTATTTATAGCTATTAGGACGATTTACAGCAAAAATTTGAGCAATAAAAAAAAAGAAATACAATTTTGTTTTAAATACTACTAATATCATATTGTGAATTACATACATATGTTAAAGTAAATAACTAACAAAAGTTTTAAAAGTAAAAATTCGGGATATTTCTATCACTGGACCCACAGCGGAGCGAAATATGGGAACGATTACGACTTTTTACGTGCAGCAATTTGATGTCTAATTTTGTAAATATCACCTTTCTGAGCACTATACATTACATGTCACTACATAGAAGTTTGATTTTTGAGATATTGGTATCCAACCACAAATTGAACCATTTCTTGCAATTAATACTTTTTATTACATACATTTTTTTTTCTGAATTTATTGCAATACTTAAATAATTGTGATTTATAAGCATGGTTGTAATATTTGTTGTGATTGGGTATCAATATAAGTTAGAATTTTCAATACTATACAGTATAGTGAAATTAATTAATTAATATGTGAAAGAAACATGAGCGGAATTTTCTCACCTTCATACATTAGGTTTGTTCCGCGAGCTACTCGTAGTAACTTTGAGTAACACTATATATACACAAGTGCGTTCCATTAGCAAATGTTCGAGTAAATGAGAGCATTTGAGAGAGCGTAACATCCCTGTCGAAATTTGAAAATGTTACACAGATTTTACTCGTACATTTTATTTCAAGTAAAATTTGTGTGATGTGTAAATCAGCTTTTTGGTTTCAAATTAAATTTTTGTATTGTTTATTTGCACGACACTGCTGTTCGCACCAGACTTTACACAAAGCTATTCCATGAAAATCTGTGTAAAGAGAGTAATATGACGCTTTATTTGTGTTTCGCTCTCAGTTTGTACTTTACTTATGTTTTACTTGAATTTTACTACGAGTAGTTCGTTTAACAGACCTAATATATGATAATATATAATAACTTAACATTTTTGTTTCCACTCATTTTCTATTATATATTTCCACTTAAACCGATGCAATACTTCAACAAATATGTTTTCAAAATAAATATCTTTTAATATTATTAAGATCTGTTTTAAGCTTTCATTGATTATGTTAATTGTTCAATTTTTACAAAGTTTAAATACACTCTGAATTCAAATGGCAATAAATCTGCAACAGTAATTGCATAGCATTTATTGCCATACATATTTTAATTAATGCAATTTCATAGAATAAATACTTGAACGTGTTATAATAATTCATACTCTACATTTTTAATTTTTGTTATTATGAAGATATATAAAAATTTTATTATCCAAACATCAAAGAAAATTATTGCCCACTTCATTGAAACGTGCAAGTGATTAGTAAAAATTTTTAAAAGCTGGTAACCCTACAATACTAACGGTCAGCTGCATGACAGCTGATTCTAAGTGGTGGGCCATATTTATATGGTAGTGGATTTATTATTTTAGAGAATAACGAATTATGCAAAAATTAAATCAAAAATAAAAATTAATATTTGTTATTAAACTATAATATGCGTATACCGCGTCCACGTGGATTTTCTATTCAGCAGTTAATGGTAGTAACCACAATTGGTGTTGTGGCCGGCGCATATATTTGGCAACCGCTTTTATTGAAATTTGCAAAGAAAGATACGGCGGAGACTGTGGCAATAGGTGATAATACTATTCAATCAAATATAAACTCAAAGGCTGATATCCCAACAAATTCAGAAAAGTAAGTTGTGAGTCGTTGTGAGATAAAATTTAGAACATGTCGGACATAACACTAAATTTTCAACCACATTGTTTGTGCTCATATCAAAACTGCTTCCAACATCAACTTTTCGAAACTTAAAAATTAATATTATTTTTATATTTTTAGTAATTTGTTTTAAACAGTACGATGTTTAATATAAGCTTGTTAGTCATATTACTAAAGTCATATTACATAAGACTACATTTACTATGTGGCGTAATATGTTGCCGGTACTGTCAATTTTACATCGCTCTTATATTTAATAAATTGAATTGATTATTGATTCCTAGTACTTGCAATCTCAAAAATAATTATTTATGAATAATTAAATACAAGAATTATTTCCAAGACCACTAATGATGGGTATTTGGCAATACTCGAAACAGCTGTATGGTCAGCCAAAAATTCAATTAATGAAAATAATATAAAAAATAAAATTTTTGTTGTTGTAGTTCACTACTGTTCGAAAAAAACCTCCTTATAAATTAATTTGTGTATTTCAAATTTGGCTAGATACGATTTCTAGTACCAGTGACGGCGCTAGTCGTCAGCGATTGCCAGTGGCGTCGCGCCGACAGGGGCATCGCAGAAAGTTACCGACTATCGCTTATACCAAACGAATTGTACTTAAAGCATTACATTGCTCCGTCACTGCTAGAACTCGTAATGTAGAAATTATAGGCCTTCCATAAAACCAATTATATTTCCAAAGACCACTAACGATAAATATTTGCAAATATTCTGCCCAGCTGTTTGATCAGATGAAAAATTCTCTACTCGCAAATAGATAACTAGACATTAAACATTAACATTTAAACATTTTTTTTAAAACTATTATATCATGAATTAAAAGATCTTTTTTACTCTGTCAAGGTATTCACGCGATATATTTATGGAATTATAAATTAATGTAAATAGTGTTAATAGTGTAAATTAATCTCATAATGAAGATTTATCAAATTATATGAAATAATACACTAAATCCCAGTAAACAGCTGCAAGTTAGTTTTTATACCCCATTTAGATCTATAATGTGATTAGATGAAAGGAATAACAAAACGTATACAAAAAGGGAAAATATAAACGGCATTGATATAAATCTCAGTGAACGAATATACCCCAACTTATTGTACATTATTTAGACCTACAAAATAACTATATGAAATAAATAACATATACAACAAAAAACTTGTATAATAATTCGTTTATATGATAGTAATGTGTCTTTGTTGTCTTATTTTTGCTTGAAAGGAAGAACTGCCCTTTCTTATATGTGAAGACGAATCGGTCTGGATCGTTGTTGTATATATTTTCTTTTCAAGTCGTTGGTTCTAACAAGAACAGTAGAGTGATGTGTAGCATAAAATAATATATGATTATAAGCAATAATCTACTTATATGAAAATATAATGTATAAAATATTATGTTATCGTTATATATTAATAAATTTTAATGTTTTTTATTTTAAAATAATTAATTTTATTGTATTTGCTTGAATCTAACCCTAAGATAAAATAGAATGAATAATACATTGTTGTAACCAAGATAAAATCCTATGGATTTTTAATAATTTTTCTTTGTAGAAAAGAGTATATTTATGATATAATATTAGATTCGCCCAATTATCACTTTCAACACCATTCAATCTCTTTTCAAATATTAACAGTTAAACAAGAAAAATTGGATGATCATCTATAAGAAATTAATCAGTTCATATTTGATGTAAGGTTGTGTGTCCGTTATTAGATTCATGCTTCAGGATTTAGTATGTCAGTAACTCTGATATATATATAGAAATATTTCTTATGACGCAAATACCAAGTGCGTCTAAGTTATTTAGCAAAGTTGTATATTAATATCCTTACGATTTTTTAGTTCCACCAAAAAGAATTCAAGCCACGGAGGAGAGATTTGCTAATATTCGTATTATTATATACGGTTTAAAAGAAAACCGATGTAAGTTACCTAGTTCTTTCAGTGTAATTCAAGTGACCCGTACCCAGAGGTTTTATAATAAAACCGTTGAAGGTTACATGATTTTTCTAGTTTAGATCAAGTGAACCGTACTCAGAGGAGGAAGAAACGGTGCTACTACATGTTATTCACTCCATTAATTCACATGTTGCAATTTACAAAGCCATTTAATATAAAATAATTCTGTGTATTCACAATAATGAATATTTCCTCATATCTTATATTTCATAGGTATGAGCAGATACCTGTGTGGTAGGTTTTGTATATTTACTCTTTTTTAAGTAAATTATAAGTTGAAAATAGTTCGTGCTGGTTTTACTGTCTATTGATTTATATATCCTTTTACTGTCTCTTTTTATTTTTTATTTAATCTTATTCAGTTCACCAATTATGCTTTTTCTTTCTATGTTTCGTGGCTTAAATCTTCATTCCAAGAGATACTATATTAAATAATATTTTTGTTTATTTTCAGATGATCGTCAGTAATATAATATCTTCAATAAAAAATTCAACAGTTGGCTTAATGGCGGTTGGTGTATTTGGTACAATAAGTGTATTAGCTGCGTACCGTGGAGTTATTAAACCGAAAATGGATAGAAACCGCCGTTTGGAAGCTGAAAGTTACGCAAATTTCATATATGAACAAGAAACCCGCAGTGCAGGAAAATCAGTTTAACTATATCAAATAAATTATTATTAAATTGAAAATGTAAAATTGTAATTATTTTAATAGCACAATAATCAAGAAAAAACATTTTTTCCTAATTATTATACTATTAAAATAAATAGAATAACTAGAATAGAATATAATCGAAGAATACAGCAAGATTTCACAAGCGTACAAATGTAAATATTGTCATATCTTAACAAAATTTTTAAGTGAATGTTATATATAAGCAAAAACATCAATGAACTTGTGGCCCCGTATAACCTACAGAATAATAACTGGAAGTGCAAGACTAATAAATAAAACGGGCACTGCAAAATTTTGGTTGATCCAGAAATTAAAATGTTAAATATTTAATTGTCTTCTGAAGAATAAAAAAAATTCACATTTTCTAAATAGTAACAGTAATATTATAAAAATTGTATAATTATATGGAGAAATTTTTAGTTAATCCCTTATTTACTTAATGCTACCACAGAGTAACTGTTAATTTTAACATCAAATTATCATTTTTGTGGTAAAAATTTTTTAATATAAATTTTAAGATTAAGAAAATATTTGTTTGAAAATCAAAATTTCAATTATGAAAAATACGTTTATTTTAAAGAATTGATATTTTTTTTTCATTTTCTTGAATTGAACAGTTATACAATGAATTCTAATCCAATAAATAGTTTATAAAAGCGTAAGCTATTCTTTTTTATGTATGCAGAAAAAGTCAAATAATTATGTGTTTTAAAGGTTTTTGTTTTTTTTATCACGTTAGTAACGTTATATGATCTATTGGGTGTGGCAAATACACCATGGTATGAAAGAAATTCTGATCTGCATCGTGATCTTAAGATAAATACGGTTGTGGAAGAAATACAAAATGCACCTGCAAATGCAAAAATGCACCTGCAGCGTTTGTACTCTCATCCCAATGATGAAGTTAACGAACTGGTGCCAATAGAGCCAACAGGTCGCCTTAAGCGTCGAAAACCTTGTGACCTTTGGTTGCAACCTGCCCGAAATACATGAAAAGTAAACTTTGCGTGATTTGCAATTAAATTTTTCTTAATTGCGGATTAAAATTGCTTGTTACCTCTCTATAGCTAGTTGATTTTATAAAATTTTTTATTTATAGAAGGGTTTTCGAATAACAAAGAAAGAAATAAAGGACAAACACAAAAATTTATTTTTTAATTTTATTGAAATTTAGCTGACCATGCAACGCTGTTTCGAGCATTGCCAAGTACTCTTCATCAGTGGTCTTTGGAAATAATCGAATTTTATTTAATTAGTTTATAGTCCGTATATAATTTGTTCGGACTGCAAGTGCCAGGCTTAGAACTCGTGCCTGTCAAATTAAAAGCGATGACTAATCGTGTTTATCCACAAGAAGGCTGCACAAACTTTCAATGCTCAAGTTCCAGGTTTTATTAAGTTCCAACTAATTAAATAAAATTCGATTATTTCGAAAGACCACTGATGAAGAGTACTTGGCAATACTCGAAACAGCGTTGTATAGTCAGCCAAACTTCAATAAAATTAAAATAAATTTTTGTGTTTGTCCTTTATTTCTTTCTTTGTTATTCAAAACCCCTCTAAATTTGAATAAAGCTGCTTTGTCACCATACAAAGAAAGTCTAGCTTTACAGCAACACTAATACTTTATTTTTTATTTATTCAATAAAAAAAAATATGATCTATCGAATATAGTAAATTTGTGAAACCAATTTAAAGCTGTTGGATAAAGGATGAATTTGGCAGGAAACGAGTTGGCAGGATACTCGAATTAGCTGTATGATCAGCCAAAAAAAATAATATAAAATGAATATTTTTTGTTGTAGTGTTCACTACTGTTCGAAAAATCTCTTTATAAAGGATGAATAAAGTTTAATCACAAATAACTTATATATACCTAAATGTCCAACAACCCTTTTGAAAATTTAAACACAACTTTTTGTTAGCCAAAATCCATCTCACTAACACATTGAATCATATTTTATTAAAAAAATTTAAATTTTATGATATACTTTCACAACACTTATGCATTTGTTTATTTTAAAATATTTTTTAATCATAGGAAAGAACTGCACCACTTTCTTACTTCAATGTTTGTGTTCTTTAATTTATATTATCCGTGTGAAGGACTATAAATTGTTTTCATTTCCAGAACGTCGTTATATCCCGGAGCTATTCGTCGAATTTGACGAGTAAGTGCGGTTCAAAATTCCCAAAAGGAACTTCACAGACAGATCCTGTTCGAATGTTCAAAAATCAAACGATTTTCAAAATTTTAAAATTTTATTGAGCTTTTATTTTGTATGGCGTTATCTACATATATGTTGTCTGTACTTAATCCATTCCAAGCTGTATATATGAGTTCTAAATAGATTTTACCATCCTTACGACTTAATGGTTTTTTCATCTGCGGTTAACTTTAATTACTATTTAATAGCACACGCATTCATATCTAGTTTATTTCTAACTTCTTAAAACAATGAGTTTTCAATATATTATGTATGAAGATTTTTTTGCTTACTAGATAGCTTTATTATAGAGCATATACATCAATAAAAATACTTGAAACTGAAGATGAAGTGACAATTGAGTAATTTGCCGTCATTATTGAGTCATTATTTTGGCTTAATAATGATTAAGTTTTGGTTATTGTAGCCTGTAAGGACCTATAAAGCAGATAACATAAAACGAGAGGGGAGGGCATTATTGGGAAGTGAGGAAGTGATGGATTGGGTGATTAGTGTGATTTAAATTAAAGTCAACTAGGATCAAGACGGAGAAACCTTGCCACCTGTCTGTTGTGTTTCTAAAATTCGATTGGATTCATGTTTGTGTGTGCGTTTAGGCAGAAAAACAGATGGGTGACATCATGAATGGTAGAGTTGCAGTTAGGGAATACATTGAGAATTGGTGTATTTACGCGTGACAATTAATTGTTCAGTACATGGCTGTATCCTGATCTTGCTGCACGGGTAACAAGTCATTCTTCGTGGGAGATATAAGACAAGGGCCTATTTCGAACATTGTTGCAATGCAACCGTGGTCTTAAATAGCATATTTCATCTATGGGAATAACTGTTAGTCCACGTTTATATTCGACATCACTTGTGTTAGCCGCATTCGATATAAACATGATATGAAAAAAAATTATTACGAATTCATCTTGGAGATATGACTCTACTAAACATGATGGCAATTATTAATTGTAATAAATTGATTTTACATATGGGAACCAAGTAATTCTGATATATAAATTTTCAAAATTTGTAATTTTAATTATTAAGTTTATGAATTACTTATTATAAATTATGATTAACTACTTCCTTTAAAAAAGTATTCATAGCTATGGTTGTAACAAAAGTACGTAGGAGTAAATGGTATTTCGTATTAAATAACTTTTTGGTTTATCAGTTTGGCACCAGGTTTTCATCACAGTAGGCACGGTGCAAATTAATTTGTTTAGTGATTATTTTAAAGCTACAGTTACGCTTACAGTAATGTTCAGTAGAAAGTATCTAAATATGCTTCAAAGTTGAGGTACGAAAAGCGTTTACCTCTGACATTACAATGGATCATTATTCGAGCTTAAGTGAGCTTTGGTGCATATAGTAGACATTCCAACCTAACATCTATGAAAAATAACAACTAACTATGAAGTTTATTTAAATAAATGATCACTTAACACCATTTCATTTTGTACACTTTTTCTAAGCAAATACAATTTTATTTTTAAATAATATAAATATTTATTTTTATTTGCAGAATAGGTTGCAATTATCAGTTTGATCAATATGTTTTATTTATTTAAATAAATTTTATTTTTCATTTTCAAAACGTTGTTATACAAAAATTTTCATAGAAACTTTTACACAGTATTATATTGTTTTTATTTTTTAAATTTATTTTTAATTATGAATAAATTAATTTAATTTTTTTTAAAAATATTTAAAACATAATTTTATTTAGGTTTGAATAATGTAAGTTAAAACGGTAAATTTACTTGAAACAACATTTTTAAACAATTAATAGAATTTTTTAAATAATTTGTATATTTTTAAATATATGTATATAGTTTTATAAGAATATATAAATAATTTTTATTTAGTACTATTCTATAAATTCTTGCCATAAAATCCTAAAAGCCTTATTCGCGTTGACACCGGACTTTGCGTATGTTCCATAATTTCCATCTGATCATGACAGTTTCCAGTATTTTTTCGACATATTTAATTGAATTATTTTATTTTTTAATACATTTATTTAAAAATTATTCTTATTCACATTTTTTGTTCGAAAAAATATTAATTTTTTATAATGTTGCAATATTGGGGAGTAGCGAAAAATATAATTAACAATAAAAAAGAAAAAAATAAATATTTTTATAACAATTTATTAACTTATTTATTATTAATATTTATATAAATGTTTATAATTTTGTTTATTTACATATGTATTTTAATATAGCTTATTACCAAGATATTCGTTTAGTTTCCTACATATTATAATTATTTGATTGTGTGTTTTGTGTGCAAATGTTAATGGGCTTTGGTATGGTGTGTTTATATTTTATGATTGGTATAAGATAGAATCAATATAATGATAAACCCTCATAATTAGAAACGCAAAATATGGATATAAAATAAACTATTTGGTTTAGATGATACTTTGCTCCCTTCTTTGATTTTGAAAATTTCTAGATTTAGAAATAATATCTGAATGCCCTAATTAGTTCAAGTGTATGTTAATATCCAAAAATCCGCGTTCTAACATAAAGAAATATAGAGATTATAAACGTTGAAATTTAAAGTTGACACCAAATCTCATCAATTTTTTTTCGAAATGAAACAATTTTGTAATTAAAAATAACAGATTCACATCTTCACAGCTTATGAATACCACATAGATATGTGA